TGAGCAAACTCAGGGAGGCAGTGAAGGACAGGAAGGCCTGGTGCGATATGGTTCATGGGGTCACGAAGAGTCGGACATGACTTAACAACTGAACAACAACAATTTTGATCAGATGTTCATTATGCAATTCATTATTAAGTCATTTAGTGGCCCAACTAACCACTGAGGGACCTCACTTTCAATTTCTCTTGACATTGCTTTTCCTACACATACACTAGACATTAGCTGTAAGATATGTATTTTTATTTTCACTTTTTTCACTATTTAAGCGCTCAATAGGCTCTGAATGTGATAGGGATATGGCAGAGGATGCCTACTGTACTTAAATTATTTTTTTCTGGCCATTTCAATGGAAGCTGTTCCCCTGCTATGGTGGGGGGGGCCATTCTCACAGAAGAAAAAAAATTGGAAACTTAAGCAGCTTCTCCTCTCCCCAATTTACTGTAGTAGCTGATAAATTTTTCATTTAAAAAACTTTAAAATGAACCACCTTATGAATAGGAAGTTATATCAGGACACTGGCACTAAACCTGTTCTTCCAAATCAAGTTCATAAATTTCAGCTGTATCTTACAGCGGCAAGACCAGTCCCCACGCTAATAATCCTGCTACAGTAATTGATTTCCCTTTCTCAGAAAAGCTTTAAATGCCCCACCATAGAGTATCACTAGGGCAGGCCCGTTTTAACATAGTGAATAACGCAAGCACCTGTTGATACATGCAGGCCTGATGAAAGAAACCTGTCCATCAGCAAAGGGAGATGCATGGAGGGTTCTTTGATGGCCTGAGACCTGGCAGGAAAGTCTTAAGCTCTGCAAGGCAGAACAGCCCGGAACATCAGAAAGAAATGCTTCCCCACACATCGAGGCCTCTGCCCAGCTTCGTGCCCCGCGGAAAAGCCATCTACCCCAGTTCGTTGGACCTCAAGGAAACACCACCCTCCTTTCGTCACCAATCCCCATTTTCAGCTTGCCCGGCCCCCTCGAGACACCCGTCCCTCCATAAGCCAAGCCTTCCGACTCCCATCCGTGGGGGGAGAAGCCACTTCGCTCGCTTCTTCTCCCCCGCCTCTCCTGAGAAAACACCACCGCCCTTCTTTCCCAAAGGCTGGTGCTGCAGGGGAAAGGAAGGAGCGGGGCAGCCGTGCCCTGGGCTCGACCGTAGCTTCTCGTTCCCGGCGGTGCCCACCTCATGAGGTCCTTGTAATCCAGGAAGCTTAGGATGAGTAGGAGCGGGTCAGTGGGCAGTTGCTCCAGGCTGAGGGGCACCAAGTCCTGCTCGGCGATGGCCGCCATCTTGCCGCCTGACCTGCTGGCTCTTCGCTCCCGGCAGAAACTCCGCCCTTACTTCTCTCGGATTGGGCCAGGCGGGAGGAAGCCCGCCCACAGCCTATTACCTGCCTGGGGGAGGTGCGCGTTTCTTCCCTCCTCACGCCGGTTTGTTATCAAAACAAGGTGGAGAGGAGGGAGCCACGCGCTGAAGCGCCAGGCCTGGGCGAAGTGAGGCTGGGGCCTCGGTTTCAGGCTTTCGTGCGGTGCGGATGCGCCTGACCTGCCTGGAAGTGCCACTCGGTCCCTTCGGCGCTTCTTGATATTTTATTGATGATTTCGAGACCCACTTTTCCGCCTGGCGCTGGTACCTTATCGGGGATGAACAGTTTGCGTGTGTTTTTATCTTACTAAGCCTTGTGTCCTTTTTTAAAGGCGGTGCCCCAGACTGAAATTGAAGCTGCGTTCGTCCTTCGCGCTAAGCTTTGCTTTCTCTAACCTCTACATAAGCTTTCTAATTTCTATAATTAGACACTAAGCCGCAGCTGGCTAGGTCCCGATGTCGTCCTAAAGCATAAACTTTAGAGAGCAGAGTGGACAGGCTCGCACGTGGAAATAAACGATGTGTATGAACCCAACCGTGTAACTGGTTTTCAGCTAGGAACGGTTGAGATGCAGCTTTTGATCTCTTAACCACATTTGCCCAAGACAGCGATCCCTCTCTTTTAATACAAATTCAAGTATTTTAGCAAGGAGTGTGTAATTATATAGTGAGATGATCAAGTACATCCATTCCATTTATTGCATAGCTCTGAAATCTGGATATCATAACATAAAATACTATAGGGCTAAATAGAACTCTTATGTTAATTAAATAAGCTTGCAATTTTTTTGTACCTTGCCTCTGATGATAAACTTATCAGTGAATTTTGTTTTGGTAATACCATGGGCAAGAGATCCTCTTGGATGCATCAGTAGTTCAGCCCTAGTTGCTGGACTACCTTAGACAGCTATCACTTTTATTTTTACTAATTGAAACTGGACTTAAAGTGAACTGAACAATTAAGATTTAGTATTTTCCCATTTTATCTGTGCTCAGATGTAACATTGATAAAATAATAATGGGGAGAGTACTTTTCATATGTACCAATGTACACATTCTCATTACAGACTTTTATTTCAATTATTCTAGTATTTTGTTAAAAGTCCTTATCATTCAAGACCCTGTCTTTGTCATTTCCTTCCTCTCTGAGACTAATATCTTCTCCATGATGCTATCCATCTTGATCTATTTTTGAGCCTAAAAAAACCCCACTTCTTTGTGATCAAGTATAAGTTTACTAAGCATGCAGATTGACACTGTATTCTTAATATTTACATTAATAAGGACTTTTGACTAAAGTGAGGTGGTCTGAATATTTCAGATGGTTGTGGTTTGACCTCCAATTTTGATTCCAGCTATCATTTTTTCCTGCTATTCTTATAATACAGGGACTCTTAGAATTGCAAATTTTAAAAAATACTACCTCAGCCATGGTAATTGAGCTCTGAATTTTGAATATTATTAATCTTATGAATTGATTTTGTGTCTGCTTTATTTTCTTTGCAGGGGCACAAGGGTTATATGAATTGCCAACACCACCATATTTTTTAAATTATTATTTGTTGTTGAATACAATTTTGAAATGAACTTTTTTATATTTGTGTATCTAAATGTTTACCTAGTTTACAAAATGTTTATTTTGTAAACTAGGTACACAAATATAAAGAATCAAAATTCATTATTATGTGAAAAACATCCATAGTTTTGTTATTTTGGTATGTTAAAGTGTACATTATAGGTCAGATGTTTTAACACAATTGAAATGGACAAAAATCTCATTGCTGTAGAGTATAACAAGTCACCTATTGATAATAACAAACTATTATCAGATTTTATTGGAGATCCATTACCAATAGTTGGGTTCATTTTTCCTAGGAAAGATAGATGTGTCTCTATTATTTCCACCAGCATGGCACGTTATGGTATATGCATAGTTTTGGGAGTGTATGTAGACATTTTAGTGAAATTAGTGTACCCATTTGATTCATACACTAATCATACAATTGGGGCAGTTAGCAAATATAGTAAGAAAGTAAATAAATACATAGATACGGTAATAAACTGATAGCTAATATACTCAGTACTACCAAAGTCATTGAAGTCCCTTCTGCCATTTCTTTGAAAACAACATTCCAAATGCCTCTTCCTGAATTTTGGACCGGTGTGCATAATGATTACAAAGTATTAACCAAGAAATCTAGTGATCCCATTGCAACATTCTGTTTGTGCAAATCAGACTTTTTTTTGCTGTTGCTGCTATAAAGAGCAAATGTTGATCAAAAATAAACATGGAATGAGAACTGAGAGCAACTGTCTTGGAAATGAAACTCAGATTTCAAGAATTATGTAAAAGCAAGCAAGCTGATGCTTTATATGAAAGTATGATTTTTCATATTTTATTTTTTTTAAAGTTATTTCCAATGAAGCTGTAAGTTTCCAGCAATGTTTTGCTAGATATATAGATTAAAGGGTAGTTATTAAAAGTACATAGTATACTTATTTCATAGTATATTTATTTAATTATACTTAAATAATTAGCTTTATTTGGGGGTGAGATTACAGTATCACAAAGTTTAATAGCCTTTGTTATAATATATTCACTATATAATTTTAAAGATATGCATCCTTTCCTTATTTCTTTCTCAATTCCAAACTAGGATCATGACTGATGTAAGGTACTGGTACTAGATAAAGCTTATCCTGGTTGCTAGTTGTGTACTGGGCACAATTTAAGGTGCTAGTGTTTATCTCTTCTTATATGATCAGCTGGAGATACCCCTTTGAAGACCCCTCCATTAATAGAAATTCATGTATTTGTAATGGGGGAGAGGGACTTCTTTTATATGACCCCAGGCTATGGAATCCCCTTCCAAGGAAATATGTTTGGTTTCCATTGTATTTAGGAAAATGGAAAAAAGTAATCTCTTTCTCAAAGTTGTTGAATTGAATTTATATATTCAATTATAAATACAAATTTTTGTCTTGATTTTAATTATATTGTTTTAATTCTTGTGTTTTATCATTTTTCTTTTATTGCCATAAGCCATCTTGAGTTTCAAATAGCTGGAAAGGTGGGATATAAATTTAATAACAGTGAAATAAATAGAATAAAAATTCATTGAAGAGTTTTATTGATGGTTTCAAAGACAGAAAAGCACAGTGAGTGACAGACTCTTTCTTAGATATCTCCTCTGTCTCCCAGTATTCATGGCATTCAAATGCAAAAAACAAACAAACCATAATTTGTGGGAGTAAGGCTGTCCAAGGGACAACTACAGAGTAATTTTTAATTTCCATCTTTCTAAGGCTCTACTTCATGGTCACATTAATGAGCTTTCATAGAATCTGTGAAGCAGCACTAAAATATACCAGTGTGGTTTGTGCTGTCCTTCTTTTTGAGAAGGGAAAGCAGAGTACGCTTCACTTAAATGTTTAAAACAAGATTTCATAGGATAAATTCATATCTGCTGCTAATGTATTTGAATACATGGATGGAATACAAAAATATGAGCAGTTACTCTATTATTATATGATACAACAAGTCTTACTTCATGTTTATGGTGGAATTTTTCAAATGGATTATTACATAAGAAGTAGAAGAGGAAGCCAGCATTCTTTGCAGGGTCTTCCCTCCTCTGAAACAGCTTACCCTGCAAGGCAAGTATAGCCCCTATTCTCCTGGCCTCCTGGAAGCTTGTAAAAACATAGCCGTTCCAGAATGCCCTTGGGACCCTGCTGTAGAGTTCCCAGTGTCAAGAATATTATATCAACAATATTTCCCCATAATTATATATTGTGTTCATGTTGTTATATATTGTTATTATTGTTGCTTTTGTACATTGCTTAGAGTTGGCTCAAATGAAGTGATTTAAAAATTCATAAATGAAAAAAAATCTAATTCTCCTCACAGCATCTAATTAGATATCTGTAGAAAACCCTCAAGCCGAATAATAGATAGTAACATCTCAATCCTTCTTGTGTTCCTCAACAGCTAATACTGAGAAGCAGTGTGAGCCCCTGAAAGTCTTGGATACAGCCTCCAGAACCTCTCTGAAACTTGCTGTCATTTTATAATTTTAATTTGCTGGAAGGGAAAACTATTACATTCAAGGAGAGTTCCATATTAATCATATTAATATTGAAGATACCATAATTAAGCAAATTTAATAAAAACATTTCAGTACTTGCTGAGAAAAAAGAGCTCTAGAGGGAAATTCTGGAGTATGACAGCTATAGAGTTACAAGTGGAGCTCTATTGTTAAATCATATCCATTATATAATTTCATCTTAGTTATTTTTGAACTTTTGTGATTTGTATTAGGCACTGCTGAAGCACTTCTAGCTTCTCTCTAGAATCATAACTACAAACTTGTCTCGGAGGTTGGGGAGAATTGGAGACTTTCACAGTGCTGAATTCTGACCTGGAACTACAAGTTGGAAGGTATCCAGTATGGAGAAACCCACATTCAAGTGCAGCTTTAGCTATGGGACCTCATTCTTTCTTGGCCCAATTTACTTCACAGGATTACTGTTGTGAGGGTAAAAAAAAGGGTGTTCCTAACATAAACAGTCTTGAGCTATTGGAGGAAGGTTAAATAAATAAAAAAGAAAATTATATAGGGATACCCAACCCTGCTGTTTAACAGAGGAATCCCAATAAGCCAATTATTTAAGTGAAGAAATTGGGTTCAAATACAGTTATGGCCCTTCTCCCAAAGCCAAAGGGACCAAAATATATTTCCTTCTTTACTGATTCAGTATGGGACAGGTAACCATTTAGGGCAGCCCCCCGCTAGCCTGATGCCCTCCAGATGCCATGGATCACAGCTACCATCAACCCTAGCAAGCACATCCAAAATCTGGCTGTGGACAATAGCAGTTGTAGTCAAACTTTGAAGTTTCAGGGTATGGAAATTTGAACTAAGAAATGGAATAACACAACCTGAAAAGCAAACAGTATGTATCAGCAGTTGGTCTGGACTGAATGTCTGAAACTCATTTGAGCAAGAAAAACTGAAGGCACATGTAAAGATCTCAGATTATTATTTTTTTATCATCAATAGACGATAACACTCAGCAAGCAGTTATAGTAGCTTTATCTATTTAAAATGAAATGGAATTTTATGTGTATTAAAACATCTGAAATTATAAAGCACTGAGCCTTAAGGTTCCTTTCAAAATGACCAGAAGAACAACATATCTTAAAGAGAAATAAAATTTATTTACAGGTCTTATAGACACATAAAATAGTGGTTTGTAGAACAAAACAAATCTGGCTTAGCACAATGTGCAAGCCTAGTTTAGTTTAACCTAATCTTAATTTAGTTTATTCCATAATAAAAATATATAGTCAGTATAATAAGCCCCTGCCTAAAATATTTTTCATTAATTATTGCATAAACTATTTTTGTTACAGAGCAGGTATGAAATATTTCATTTTGTTACAGAGTAAACAGAAAAAAAATGAATTGTCCATTTGAATTCCTTTGCCTGCACTGCAGCCAGCATTCACTAAAAAGGCAAAGTATTAAACTAACATATATGGAGATGCCAAGTATACATTGTTATACCATGGTAGCACTTTACCTTTTAAATGTATATGTAGTGAAGTGACTCATTATTATGGATTATAATTCACTGTAACCAATTAACAGGCTCAATGAACAGTTTTCTTTTTAGATTTAGATCATTGACAATCTCTGTGTATCCTAGCATATATTTGTAAGCCTAAGATTTAGAGATGAAAACTTAACTTGTGTATTAATAGAAAGTGATTCAGGAACAAGAAGATAACATGCAAAGCATCCAAAGTGTTTTTAATTTGTGAATCAATATCACTAGAGTGGTAGTTATATAAATTAATGATTATTCCTTTCCAAGTACTGTATGCTATGGATCTGGCAGATTGTGTTAAGTTTTGTGCTGTTGTATGCAGAATTCAAGTAATTTGATCTTAAGCTACAATAATGTCGGGAATCAGTGTTACTTTGAGAAAAGGAACAGGGACACAGAGACAGCTATTTTAGCCAGTCTTGTGATAATAATTGCTCTATATTTGTGCTCTCCACTTAAAAGTTTCATTATGGTACATTTTCTCCAACCAAGGACACAGAAGGAAAAGTAATACTGCAGGTAATGCTCTCATCTTCAAAGCATGACATTGGATAATGGGGACAATTTTAAAAAAATGATAGGCTTTTAAAACTTGTATTGAATTCAGCCAAAATACAATGTAATTCAATATCCATGTCTGTTTCACTGGTAACTGATTTTATTTAGTATGATTTAATTAGCTGTTTAATGAAATTTTTAAAAATGAAATTTCTCCAAAATACTTTTGTTGTGAAAATGCTTCTTTTATAAATGTTGTTTTCATATAGATCTTTGGAAACAAATTAATGATTTATCATGGCTTTGCAATAAAAGTATATAGAGGAGTGCAATTCATGCTAATTTTAACATGCGCAGTAATTTCCTCAGAGATATGTGAGGATGGCTAACCCTTGATAAAATGCTATTTTCCTCCCTAGAAAATTTGTTTACTATATTCCCACAAATGAAGATGAGCCCTTGCCGAGGAAGAGTACACACATGTGTACACACACACAGGAGGAAATAAAAAACCTCAGCTTCCCTTTCTTGCCAGCCTAGGCTTTCTCTGGCTGAAACCAATCCTAGATTTTGCCCATCACAGTTCATAAACTGTGCAGGTGACACCCTTACATGATTATCAGTCCACACTTCAAAAATGGACAGGCCCAGGACCCAAAAAAATGGAATAATAGCATTGAAATTAGTTGCCTATTTATAAAATTCCTATCAGCATATCCCAACCATTCTCCTCTGATGCACAAACGTCTCTCTCTGTCTGTCTGTCTCTCTCACACACACTTTTGTCCTAGTAAAAACACTAAGAAAAAAATAGATATGAGGAGAAGGGACAAACATACTTAGGACTGAAATGGAAAAAACTGAATGAAGATAAAGAGTGGGGTTGTGGTAACTGAACAAGAAGAGAGAGAGAAGCCCTATTATGGAATTACAAAAGGATTAAAATTCACAAAGGAAGCATCCTCTCTCAACCCAAATATAATTTTCAAGAGTCCATTCTTTTTTCAGCAGCCATGTCTGCAACCATCTATATGTTCCAACTATTCATTTGTTTTCAATAACATATTCTTCTCAGCTATTCTAAGACCCCAATTTACAGGTAACTTTGGGGGGAGGAACCCCCCCCCCCTTATCTGGTAAATAAGGTATTTCTGCAGAATGGGTGACTTTTTTTGTCGCAGTTTCTTTCCTCCAAGGATATATGGGGTATTGGGACTTTCTTTAGATCTGCAGGCAAGATTACTTGGCAGATACCCTCTTAGATGTTAAAAGGACAAATAATAGATGCACTATTGTGGAAGTTTATGAGAGTAGTATGTCAGTAGGCAATGCTGGCTAAAACACATGAAAAGATAGCAAAAACATCCATGGGAGAATTAAAACAATTTAAAGGAAACTTTAACAAAGCAACAGGAAAAACTGATGACAAGCATACCAGCTGAACCATATGGAATATGATTACAAAATATTGTGAAATAATCAGAAAATAAAGCAGTGATACCTGTCTGCCTACATCAGGGTTCCCCAAAGTGGTCAGTATCAACCCCCAAGGGTCAGTGGGAGTATAAAAGGGAGTATAAAGTATAAATGGCTGCGGGTCAAAAGGGGGTCAGTAAATGTCTGGGGCTCAGTATGTGGTCAATAAATGATGGAAGGTCGATTGGAGTCACTTTATTTTGGGGGGTCTCTGTAGAGCTCCACGCCAGTCTCTAGTCCTGAAGGTGTGGTGGATAGTGGCAAGACAGTGTTACCCAGGGTTGGATGGTCAGCCACCAGAAAGAGCAGCCTTGAGTTGTTATTATTCATAGTGCTATTAGTTCAAGCAGTATTTATTAAATTATTTTCATATAATAAATGTTTGGGGGTCAATGAACATTCTGAAACTTCATGAAGGGGCTCATGAGCTGAACAGTTTGGGGACCCCTGGCCTACATCCTAGAATTATTAGTTTAGTGGTATTGCATGCAACTGCAATTGAGAAGCATTTTTAATATAGAAGTAAATGGTTACAGATTGACAGGCAACAACTAGATAAAATGTTTGTAATCTAGCAGGTGACAGATTTTATAAATTTAAGTAATATGCCCAAGACTTTTTAGATTGAAATCTGAATTGATATTTCAGTTCTACTTTCCTGTTTGATTTTGTTTTGTTGTCTCACTGTAAAAACTCCACCCCATCATACTCTATCAGACATGGTTTCTCTGAGCTATGGGTAGAGCTTCTACTCTGCAGCAAATGTACCAGATTTGTTGGAAATTCACATTTTTATCTTTACTTATTAGCATGAATTCTGCTAGAACTGAAGGTTTCTGCCTCTACCAAATTAATGACAAGATTACAGCAGTGTTTCTTTAGAGCTTGTTCAGGGGATTATACTAAATGAATGACTGAATTTCATACATTGCCTTTGTGCAAAAATCACTTGAGTTCCAGTTTCAAGAAAATAGCAAGTTATCCACTTTGCATGTGATGAATTAAGAGATGATTAGTAAAGTGGCATTAGCTCTTCATAACTTTGAAGGTAACTTTTAAAGAATGAATAAAGAAAGAAAGAGATTACAATCCTAATTATACTTTGTAGGAAATATAGTCTCACTGAATACTGAAGGACTTAATTCCACATCAACATGCATAATAAGGCTGCTCTGAAAAGATGTGTGAAAGCTGATGTGCATGCTGCATGTCAGGGATCACTTTGCAAATGTTTCTGTTTTCAAAAGGCAGGAATAATATAGCTAAAAGCATTTTAATAATCTCCTAAAACAATCTTAGATGGCATATGTATGAAGAATAGAGAAGTCAAATAATTCATGAATAGTCACATCACAAATTAATGTGAGAGGCACCTACGACATTTATTGCAATGCATATAGCAATCACAGGACAAATAATGGTTGCTTTGCCTAGGGAAATCAACATTTTCTATTATTAGGAAGACTTAAATTCTCTCCTTTGAATGTGTTTGACAAAGTGAGATTAGCATATAGTGTAGTTAACTCTGTCCAAAACAAAAGCATAGCTCAAAGGATGATACTCTGTGCACAATAAATGAGCCATATAACAGCTACATATTTATTGCACTAAAAAACGATAATCAAAAAAGCTGCCGGTGTATTGAATGAAAAATATCACAACTCTTAGATCAAGTCTATTTAATTAAGTCTGCAGTATCTTACTACATACAACAATGTATTCACATTTCCTAATAAAATAGTTGAAGAACTTTAAAAAAAAATTATTGTATAGAAAGGAGTGGTGGAATTCCTCACCTTCAAACAATGTTAACAGAAGGTAGCTATCCATCTTCATGATTTGAAATAATTACTTAGCATTTAAGGCTGCATTCCTTCCTCCCTCCCCAGTTACATGCCATTATCTCTCATGGATCTCACAAGGATTTAAGTATATCTGATATATACTTAAGGTATCATCTTTCGCACTGTAACAAAAGTTGTACTTTAATTCTCAAAAAGAATTGACTATCATTAAAAAGGAGGGCTGCATTTATCTGGAGGCCCCTTCCTCTCCAGACATACAACTCTCTTGATGCTCTTGCATTTAATATTAATGCTGGGATTATAGTCTAGGCAGAATAAATATATATGACATAATCAAAATTTAATTGAACAATTTTGTCTGCAAGTGTTAAGGCTACCTTTGAAGGTAGTGTGTGCCAGAAGTATTAGGACAACAATTGCTAGATTTCTGGGGACTTGTAGTCTCAAGTCATCTGAAAAGTACCAGGTTAGAGAAGGTCAGTCAACAAAGTTACACTATCATACTGTACTTCAATTTAAAAGAATCCATTGTTACTTTGTATTGGTTCACTAGTTTCCATCATTACCTCCAATAATGTCAGTTTATCATCAAAGCATATTTGCTAAATAAATTTGTCTGCTATTATGCCAGTCTCCAATCATCACTTGTACATGATGCAATGCCTGTGCATTCTGTTCCATTTCCCCCTTCCTTAGAGAAAGCATAAAGATGTGAGCAATAACCTCACCATAGCTAAATATATATGTCACTCATGAATGTATTTTGGAGACTATGAGGCACACGTGAGTTATATCATCCCATTGATCTTAGTCCACTCGTAGATGTCCTGCTCACATACTATATCTGAGTTTATGAGAAGGTATCTGTCACCAACACAAAAATGTTTCTGGCAAGCAGCACACTTGAAGCATTCCAGATGGTACACTTTATCTTTTACTCTCATGGTCATTTCATAGGCTCGGATTCTCTTCTCACAGGAGGCACAGAGACCATCTTGGCCAAAAAGCCTTTTGGGGAAAAAAAGTCCAAGATTAATGTTCTGAAATCCATTTTTAACGAAGTTTTAACACAAAGCTAAGCTTATTTATTTGACTTAATTTTATTACAGCTTTAAGCAGGCATGTGGATAGTCTGAAGTTCTGAGAGGTGGGAAGGAAAGCACAAAGAGGGAACAAGCCATACAGGTAGTCCTCGTTTAGTGACTGTCTCATTTAGTAACTGTTTGCCATTATGACAGTGATGAAAAAGCAACTTTCTGACCAAGCCTCGCATTTACAACCTTCCCAGGTCTGTAAAGCAAAGGAAAGTTGAAGTAAGATCATGAGCAGAGTCATAGTTTCACTTAGTGAACGCTACGCTTAACAACCAAGTTCCTGGTCCCAATTGTGATCACTAAATGAGGACTACCTATACTGCCATGATAACTAGGACATGTCATACTCGCACTGTTTTTACTCCCTGAACCTTCAGGAGCAATTTAAAAGCTGTCCATAATCACCTTCACTTCCACTGTTGTGAAATGCTGAGAACAAGGAGCAAAAATTGCCACTCTGCTCCAAGTTGCTAGAGATCCTGCAGCAACCAAAATGGAAAGAAAAAAAGGGGGAAAATAGCTTCCCCCATGCTAAAAAGACGACCACTAGTAACTAAATAGTATCAGTTTTGCCCCTGCTGTTTTATGTACCCTACCAAATAGGAGCTGCAAAGCTATATTTTCCTTTCAGGACCTGAAGTTCAGGAGCTGAGAGGACAGGAAATGGAACCATAACATCCAATGGAGAAATATAGCCATAACATCTTTAAAAAGCAAGCAAGCAAACAAAAAGCTTTGCAGCATTTTCAACTGCACTACAGCTGACTGTGCCAGAAATAAATCAGCTCAGCTCTCCAATATTGAAGTAGGTCCTCAGAGGAGTTTGGAATGTGGAAATATTTTTTAGTATGTATGTATGTATTTATCGAATTTATATAGCCACTATCACAAGAAGTGACTCTGGGTGATGTACAACAAAAACAATAAAGCATGTCAAAAAACAATAATTATTAAAAAGAAATTATTAAATTTCTTTTAATAAATTAAATAATAAAAATTATTTAGAAGAAATTATTTAAAACAATTAAAAATGAAAAAAACATTTTGCCTTCTTTCTTCTTAAACTGACCCATAGAAATCTGTAAACCGGCTGATCACTGAATAATCCAAATTAAAATAGTCTAAATTGTTAAAGTAGTGCATATTTGAGTTTTGAATCAAACATTCATGGGAATATTCTTATTAAGAAGAATGATAATGGGTTTGTTGTACAGATTTCTTAGGGCTGATCTTCACATCTGTACCATATTAACTCTGGTCATTATGGTGGGTATTAAAGTATTATTTTTTACACATAGTGCTTAGCATAACGTGCCATGTTCCTGTGCATGTCAAAGAAAGAGGGACTGTGAAGTTCTTTATGCTTTTTATAATTCCTGGTTATATGTTAATATAAGCAGAGTACGTAATATCCTTGTATTATATTCCAAAAGGCATGTTTTATTATAGCAGTAAGATAAGCTCTGCATTAACATGATTAATTTTGGAACAAGTTTATTAATTTCAAATATTGCTGTAAACTAAATACATGGCCAGTGACAATAATCCTCAGGATGAAAACGATACATGTTTCTCCCTTGTCTTCCAAGAGATGTCACTGTTCACTTGTCCAAAGCAATAGTACTATACCTTTTACATTTTGGTGTTTTTCTAAGTATCATCTTTTAGTTTGCAATATAACACATTAAGAAATTGCTAATATTGGCTTAAAAAGTGGGAGACAGAGCATTTTAATATATATTTTTAGCCAATGTAGGCTTTTATATTTGAATTACAAATGAGGGTAATAAAAAAAAAATGGTTGAGCAGCCTACATCTATGAAATATTTTATTAGCAGATACAGATAATTAATACACATTATAGTGTGAAAAGTCAGAACATACCCAATTATAAGTTATGGAAAATGTATTAACAGTTCGGATTTTCTGCCATCTCAGAAAATATTCATCTAGTGGAAATAGGACAGAATCCTCGGGGGGGGGGGTTGCATTATTCTGAAAATTTGCTGCAAATTATGTTATATGAAGCTAGTCCTTCTATACAGACAAGACAGTTATTGAAAAAAAATCTCTAAAATGGGGAAATTTTATACTGCTTTGAGACTTCTAATAATGAGAAGTGGTATACAAATACACAAATAAATAGGTAGGTTAGCACTTTTATTCTTATCCTTCCACTCTGTATTATTGAGAGAGAATAAAATCTCTTGATGCTGTGATGCTATTTTAACATTGTCATTAAGTATTGGTTAACTCTCTGAAATGTGTTAATGTTATGAATACTGTTCTGTTCATTTAGCTTTGGTTTCCAAAGGCTAAGAGAGGTCCATGGCATAATGTTCATTGGAAGCTCCCTCTCCAAACACATACCCAGAATTTATTCACACCATCCTCTGTACCAGGGCATATTTTTTCTGCTGAAGTCAGCAGCCCAGTAAACAGGACTATGTGGGGAGCACCAAATTAATGAAAATAACTGAGATTGTATAAGGACAACTGATTAGTTGTTCTTCCTTGAATTAATATTATTGAGCCATTTTATCAATCTGAAATCCTGAACCATACTTTTCGTAAAGCCCAAAGCAATTGCCCACACTATTCTCCCCTTGTGCCCTGAACACACCTTTGCTATTCAATAAATATTTGACTCATATGTTCCTCTGCATGATTCTGCCTCCTTTCCTCTTTGTGTCTGTCACATTGTCATTCTAGCATCACTGCTCAAGGTGGGATCTTTTTTTCAGCCTTACTCCCTAGCATATCTCCAGACTTTGCTGAAAGAGTCCCTCTGCTCAGGCTAACCTGGCAAGGGGCTTACCCAAGTTGGGTTTTGAGACTAGTTCCTTTCAAACAATCATGCATGTTCTTTCTGCCCAGACTGAATCCAACCCATAGTTGATGCGCTCTAATTCTTTGTGTGAATCCTAGCTTTGTTCTAAAGCAATGTTTCTCAACCTCAGCAACTTTAAGATGCATGGACTTCAGTACTTGCTGGGGAATCCTGGGAATTGAAGTCCATGCATCTTAAAGTTGCTGAGGTTGAGAGACACTGTTCTAAAGAGTTGTGAGAGAAAACTACCAGCAAGGCAAAGAGGTGAGGGGAGAGAAGCCTACCTGAGATAGTCTCTTCGACAGAGCTTTCTGCCCAGTTTATAATACAGCCTTCTTCCCACTTCTCCAAGTCGGCACCCGCATAAGTCACAGCTGAGACAATCTTCATGCCAGTACTGATCAATGGCTTTAAGGAAGTACCGATCCCCAATGTTTTGCTGACAACCTCCACATGTTAACAAGGAAGGGGGGATTTGGAGCACCTCATCCACTGGCTCCCTGGTGGAAAGAAACCAAAGCAATCATTCCAACCTGCAGAAAGTCTAATTAGGACAGAAATTCTATCCTGATCATTGACAAGAGAGAACTGGGTATAGGAGACTCAGGTATTTTATACAGTAACAGATGAGGATATATATAGCTTTGGGTATAGAATTCAGAATTGTGACAATCTCAGCTTGCATTTTTGTTAAAGTGGGACTGTATTCCTTCAGGCTGACACATTCAGAAATGTAGAATGATGGTGGTGGTGGTGGTGGTGGTGGGAATACTTGGAAAAGGACTAAAGTGGAAAAACTAAATAAACTCTCCAAAGGTGGTGGGACTAAAATGACTTGTATGATCTTTAGCCATTCCTCATGACTGCAGAAGTAGGACAAACAAATACACTTTTTTTAAAAAAGAAAAGCTAAATTTATATAGTTTCGTACAAGTAGTAAAACCCAGTGTCCTAACTACAGATATTTTAGTGCTTCGGTGCAGGATATACATTGGCTATAACATGCTTCATAATTCAAAGAATAATATTTAAAAGTTGAACAAGAATGAAAAAAGCATTTGTTGATATATACATTATTTGTATCAGTTCAATATCAGGACACATGTTAAGTTTTATGACTAATAAATAAAATGCAGATATTTTAATCAACTCTTTATGATTTCTGTTAAATAAGATTTTCTTATAAGTCACAGTTCTGAACTGAGTGTGAAAATAGGTATCTCTGTAACTAAATTTCCCTATGTAGTCTTGTTCTGTGATAATTTGTGGCTTATACAAAGAAAACTCTTAGAACTAAAGACAATCTTATTTTTAAAGTCTTATTTTATACTGAATATTTTAGTGAGTTATTTAATGAGAAATGGTAGTAAGCAAAGCATGACATTTTGGTCACTGCACTTTATTATTTTAATGTGGAAAATTATTTACACTCTCAGTTATCTGTCCTTAAAATAGTCATGTAAAATTGTTAACTTTTGTATCTATTTTACTAACTAGCAAGCATAACATTGAAAGATTTCACAAAGTATATTTAGTGCATTTAGAATGACTTTTATTTACTAAAACTGCAGTTTAAGCCATCTGCAGATTTATTTGTAAAAAGCACTTACTCATATTAATAAACATGTAAAAGAAAATGTGAACAGGGTTGCATTTTGTCATTGTTAGAAGATTCATTCTGTAAGGGTGGAGTCCTGCAAATTCTTTTTTTTGGTACTTTCTTGTTACAGACAATATTCTGCCTCAATAGAGTAAAAAGAAAATTAAACAACTTCATAGCCCTTCTTGATATTATGGAATTACATTAATAACTGCTCCTTATAGCAAATTCAGGAAATAAAAAGCAATTGAGCAGTTGCCAGAATTGGACCACTAAGAACGAAGAGGAAGAGTTTGTGTTTAATGAAATTTTAAAACTTGAAACATTAAATAATCATTAACGGCAAATCTAAAGGGCTATCTCCCCAGAAAAGTTCAGTGAAGCAGCTGTGGAATACTAAACATTTGATAATAAAATATAGAAAAACTGCTTGTGAAAAAGGATGGGATATCCCACTTTGGTCTCATAAAAACTTACAGTATCCTGAGTAATAATACAGTATGCAGTATTCTGCATTGTTAGCCAGAATCAAGGTTACTGGCATGTTATTTATTTATACCATTATTTAAACACTGCCCACTTCAACAAGGATTCCAGGTGGCTTACAGTCAAATGAAATAATTGAAAGAAAATTAAATAAAATTTAACTAATAGTTCTTATTCCGTCAGCACCCATATGCCTTGCGAAATCGTAAATGTTCTAACCCTTCATAAAGCCTGGGAGGTTGGAGGCATTTCTAATCTCACATACTTTCCCTCAGTGATAGCACAGGGCAGGGTAGGCTGAGCCTGAGTGGAAAATATGGTCTTGTAGGTTGTTATCTAGGCCCCAAACTGCAAGCTCTATTAATAATCAGCACCTTGAATTCAGAAGCAAACTGGAAGCCAGCATACTGCCCGCAGCACAGATTTACAGTGCTAAATCTACATCTCCAAGTTGGCAGAGGGGCTGCTGCCTCTTGGATTAAGCTTCTGAAATATCTTCAAGGGCAGCCCCATGTACAGCATGTTAGTATAGTTTATAGGTGATGATACATTTTATAAGAAGTCCCACTTGTTTTCCTTCAAATAAATTTACATACAATTAGGAGTCTTCAAAAATTTTGGACTGTTGGACTTGGAATTTTGAGAGGCCATCATATGTATTTTTATAAAACAATACAGTAGTGGGCCCAGCCACTTCCAAAGCATCTGCTTACCAGAAAGCAAAATTATATTGACGCGACTGCTCTATCTAATCTCTTAAAATCCCAAGGCAGGATTTTATGCTATATGTCTAATCTGTTTATGTGAATGGGTGTAAAAAAAAAAATCACTAAGTATAAATCCTGCATGCATATTTGCAAATCTATGCAGTATTCAAGGCCAAGAATTGTAATTGGTGGCTTACCCTAATATTAGAAGAAATCTTATATAATGTGGAGACTTCCTTACAAAATGTTTGTAGCTGTACTTTTATGAACATATTTTAAGGAATACTCTCTCTTGGATTCAAATAGAGCTGCATGTGTATGAAAGTGTATAGGATTGAGGAACATATAATTAAAGTCACAACTTAAATGAAAAAGGTCCAGTCCACTGATTTCTGAGTAAATATATTCAGGATTTTATCTGGAAGCCCTAATCTGAGAATGTTGAAAAATAGGCTCCTCCAGTCAGCATGGCTTTATACCTTCTTAATGCCTACTAGTTGTGATCATATACAATAAGGAACCTTGTATTTTGCTTTTGCTTATATTATGAAGAGTATTTTTAAAGTATTGGAGCTGCACCCTAATCCAATTTCATATTAAGACTTCATGCAGTCAGCGTTGTCCCCAAGGTTTCAAATAAATACTTTTCCTCATGCCTTCCCTGATTTTAATAAACACATCAAAATTAGGTCAGCTACACATTTAAAAGGTATTGTAAAGTATGTGAATGAAAGGTTTGATCCCATATTTATGACTACAGTTGTTTCCTATGTATTAGTAACATGTACTATTTTCCTCATATAAAAGTGAAATACCACTGTAAACAGACTCATTTGTAGAGTAGGATCACTTTGGACCCTGAATAACACCTTCATCATAAGAAGGAAGAATAAGAAAATCTTGTAATGTGTAAAAGTCCTTTTCCCAAAAACTTTCTTAGTGATCCTGAAGCCATTGAAACATTTCATTGAAGGGCGTTACTTTTCATTGAAGGGTACCACTGGTTCTTTTCTCTTCTTTTTTCTTTTTTCTTTTTCTTTTTTTTTCTTTTTTTTTTCTTTTTTCTTTTTTCTTTTCCCTTTCCTTTCTTTTTTTTTTTTTTTTTGGTGCCTTTGAGTCAGTGTAGATTCCTGGGGACTGCCTGGACTAGTCCCTGCAGTTTTCTTGGCAAGATTTCAGAGGTGGTTTGCCATGGTCTGCTTCCTAAGGCTGAGAGCGAGTGACTGGCCCAAGGTCACCAACTGGTGTTGTGCCCAGGGCAGAACTAGAACTCATGGTCTCCTGGTTTCTAGCCTGATGCCTTAACCACTACACCAAACTGGCTCTTACAACTGGTACTACTATTATTATTACTCTGCTGTTCCTCCCAAATGAGCTGAAAGCAGTGTACAAAGGAGCAATAAAATAATATTCAGTAAAAACTATTTGGTAGAACAATTATAGGTGAAGACTACTTGTAAGCAGCAATCCCTTCCCTTCCCCAGCAAGCTGAAACAAGAGCTAAAATCATGATTAAATAAGAGAGGAGGAAGACATTTTTAATGTTACTCTATTATCTTCATGATACCTGCTTTGCTCCCTTGATACTCTATTGTACAAGTGCTGTTGAGAATTAGCTCCCAAGTGAAACACTGACAGCCTGCAGAGTCAGCTCAAAGTAAGGTATTTTAACACACACTTAATCTTTAACTCATAAACCTTGAAGAAGGAGAAAAGGCTCAGTTTTTCAAAATTAATGACATGAAGTAATGATTTACATTCTAGTCAAACTATTAATAACATTCTCCCCATGCTTTGGCTAGACTGCTAAATATAGTTTTCACACTAAATAAGCTCATTCTGAGACTTTTTCTGGGACCCCATTTTTACCACATGTAAATGATTGTGAAAATTAATTGGGAGGTTTGCTGGATGTGTTCAAGAGATGCTGGATAGATAATTGTCAGGGTTGCTTTAATTTAAATCAAAATTAATTTGTGCACTGACTAGGGAATTGGTTTCAATATAAGGAACAGGAAAGTGGCTAAATAGGCCCTTCCAACTATAATTTTATGGCTCTATGAAGAAAAACACTTTTCCAAAACCTTTTAAAAAAGAAATTCCACTTTAATCAGGAACTAAATAATGAAGCAAGTATTGAGAGAGGCTCAGGTTTTCCAGGTACTTCATATTAAAATAGTTATTGGTATTATAAAGACAAATATACTATTTAATTCTAAACCTATAAGCAACCCCTGTTTCTATATTATGTGGTTTATTATTATTATTAAATCCTGCTACCCTTTACAGAGGAGAGTGTCCATGAAATGCTCGGTAGCAATCTCTTTCTGAAAGGTTAAAACTAACATTCTCAATATTTGGGCATTATTTGCTTATCTAATACTGTACACGATTTTTTTTTTAAAAAAATGCCCCATTAGAATAGTGCTCATGAACTTTAAAAGAAAAATGGTAGCAAGCACATCAGTAAGTTCAATGAAATCAACAACACAGAAGCTATCAGTATTTCTTGTAGGCCCATATAAATAGTGGAAGAACAAAGAAGTGAAGGGCTTTTAACATTTTTTTAGTTTACCTCCCACTATCTTAAGTTGCTAAGCTCGTTAAAGCCACTTTCAGGCACTTTTATCCCATAATTTTGAAAAATGAAATGCTCATACTTTTCAATATTTTGGACTGTAGGTGCTACAGTAATAAGTCTCTCATTTTGGTTATTTATAACACCTAAAAAATTAACACTTCAATTCTAGGCACTTCTCCTTAATAAAGTCTCATTCAGTTTCATGGGCTTAATCCCGAGTATAGGATTGCAGCCTAAAGTATAACTCAGAACACTGAAGTACATGGGAAGATGGGAAACATAAATCATCAATCATAACAAAAAGATTTTAATTTTTTCTGGTGCATATATTTATATAAAAATATTTTATCCAAATGATATAAACCAGTGATCCTAATCAAACTGCCTCCAGGGTAAATCCAGTTGAAATCAACAGAACCTATTTCTCCAAAAGGATGGCTAGGATTCGGTTTCTAAGGTTTCCATACCCCCTCTGTCCAAGATTCTTCCCCCCCACACACACACACTACTTTCAATAACCAAATGCAAAAGCATACTCTTTCTCTATCTCACCGAAACAGTTGATCGTTTCTTTGAAAAGTATATTCAAGTAAAGCAGGATGTTGAAAGTTACAACAAATTTTCCAACCCAAAGATTAATAAAATGGCAATTATCTAATAAGAAGAGCCATGCAAGTTGAATCCTATGCATGTATATATACTTAAAGTAATTCTCAAATAAGTGTAAAAAGCACTGCAGCTTTAAAACCCAAGTCCAGTGCCAGTGATTTAGTAGCTAACAATCATGGTAATGGCAGGTATCAGCATTCCTTTGGAAATACAGCAGGACCCTTGTAAGAAATTCACCAGAAAACCTTACTTCAATTTGTTCATACTATGGGCATTTCATAACTTCTATGCTAATCTGAGGGAGAGGAGACTTTCTTGCCGGTGCTTAGCTCTTTCAGAGGTACTTTTTCTTGACATGTTGTAGTTTCAAACTGGTGGGTTGCACTTTGACAGTGTAGACGCTGAGCACTCGTGTGATAATAGTCTTGACTCCTCTAGTCTAATCAGACCATTAAGCTGGGCAGGTAGGAGGGAGAGAGAGAGAGAGAGCGAGAGAGAGAGAGAGAGCGAGAGAGAGAGAGAGAGCGAGAGAGAGAGAGAGAGCGAGAGAGAGAGAGAGAGCGAGAGAGAGAGAGAGAGCGAGAGAGAGAGAGAGAGCGAGAGAGAGAGAGAGAGCGAGAGAGAGAGAGAGAGCGAGAGAGAGAGAGAGAGCGAGAGAGAGAGAGAGAGCGAGAGAGAGAGAGAGAGCGAGAGAGAGAGAGAGAGCGAGAGAGAGAGAGAGAGCGAGAGAGAGAGAGAGAGCGAGAGAGAGAGAGAGAGCGAGAGAGAGAGAGAGAGCGAGAGAGAGAGAGAGAGCGAGAGAGAGAGAGAGAGCGAGAGAGAGAGAGAGAGCGAGAGAGAGAGAGAGAGCGAGAGAGAGAGAGAGAGCGAGAGAGAGAGAGAGAGCGAGAGAGAGAGAGAGAGCGAGAGAGAGAGAGAGAGCGAGAGAGAGAGAGAGAGCGAGAGAGAGAGAGAGAGCGAGAGAGAGAGAGAGAGCGAGAGAGAGAGAGAGAGCGAGAGAGAGAGAGAGAGCGAGAGAGAGAGAGAGAGCGAGAGAGAGAGAGAGAGCGAGAGAGAGAGAGAGAGCGAGAGAGAGAGAGAGAGCGAGAGAGAGAGAGAGAGCGAGAGAGAGAGAGAGAGCGAGAGAGAGAGAGAGAGCGAGAGAGAGAGAGAGAGCGAGAGAGAGAGAGAGAGCGAGAGAGAGAGAGAGAGCGAGAGAGAGAGAGAGAGCGAGAGAGAGAGAGAGAGCGAGAGAGAGAGAGAGAGCGAGAGAGAGAGAGAGAGCGAGAGAGAGAGAGAGAGCGAGAGAGAGAGAGAGAGCGAGAGAGAGAGAGAGAGCGAGAGAGAGAGAGAGAGCGAGAGAGAGAGAGAGAGAGAGAGAGAGAGAGAGAGAGAGAGAGAAACGACGCAGCTTCACACCAAGTATTCGGTTCCTTATCCCTTTCTCTGAAATCGCTTTCACCCGCCGCCAGCTTCCCTTAAACCTCCAGGTCAGAAGAAACTGCACCCATCATCCCACCGGCTGCCGGTCCCCTTCCAACTCTCACTCTCAACAGGAGCTTGAGGGCGAACCTGAGGACTCGGGCAATTTATCTCCCGAGTCAAAATGGGGAACTTCGGCGCGTCTGTGGGCTTTGGCTGCCCTGCCGAGGCGGCGGAAGCAAGCTCCAGGCAGGCACTGCTTGCACGAGCCGATGAGGTCTAGCACGGCGGAGGGCCACGCTGCCCACTCCGTCGCAACAGGGGGCGGCGGCGGGGCAGGCGCTTCTTTGAAAGTGGAGGAAGGGAGCAAGCGGCAGCCCCATTGTGTCGCCCTCCGACGCCCCCGCTCTTCAGCCCCAGCAGCGCCTAACGCTCCCCCTTCCAGGGCTCTCCTCCTCCCTTCTGCCCTAGTCCCGCAAAACGCGACTGCGTCTTCCTCCGGGAAAGTTGGCGCTGAGTAGGGGAGCCCCGAAGAGCGGCGGCGGCGGCGGGGCGGGCATCACTTACTCGGAGGGCTCGAGGCTCTTTCTTTCGATGGCTGATGACATTGGCAGGGCTCGCTCCTTTGTAGCGGCGACGGACGTCGTGTCTCTTTGCTTGCCTGTGACGAGG